CTACTTTGTGAGCTACCGGCATTAAAGTCATGAGCAGGTGATTTGGCTACTGCATAAATTAGCTTGCTCTGGAGCCATCCTTCCTGAGCTAAGATAAATATGTGTGAGCCGGAGGGTAAAAAACTGTGAGCTAGCTCACACTAACTCATCTTAGAGGGAACACTGCCTGTGAGGTAGGTGGGGCTGAGAGAACTCTCTCGAGAACTGCCCTTGAGAGCACAGCTCTGAAAGAACTTAATGACTGACCCAGGGTCACACCAGCAGCTGCATGTGGAGGAGTGGGGAATCAAACCTGGTTCTCCCAGATTAGAGTCCCTGCTCTTAGCCTTTATCCCTCAGAATGTTCCCTGCAGTGGGAGAGGAGAGAAAGCCCAAGCCAGCTCAACAGCCTCCCGTGGACAGAGGACCAGGGGTCGTTTCGTAGAAAAAGAGCTAGGGGAACTCATTAGCATAACTCATTAGCATATGCCACACCCCCTGACATCATAAGGCCCGGCGGTGGACCTGCAAGGCCGGTGGGAGTGTGAGGAAGCCCTGCCAAGGCCCTCCCTGGCCCCAGGCAGGCAGGGGTGGGGAGAGGCTGGGAGGAAGCAACTTACCCTCCCTCTTCTCCTGCCTCCTCCTGGCTGAATGAGGGCCGGAAGCGGGGCAGCCGGAAGCAGGGGGTGTGGCTTCGTCGTGTGCCCTGCCCCCCCACACACCTCACCCGGGGGAACTGCGATCCCCCGCGATCCCCCCCGAAATGACCCCTGCAGAGGACCATCCAGCAGTAGGCTGAACATGCTTCTCACCAATGTTCCCTCTAAACTGTGGAGTCTTGTGAACAAAAATTCGACTTTGTGAGCGACTGGCATTAAAGTTGTGAGCGAGCGATTTGGCTGCTGCATAAATTAGTTTGCTCTGGGGCCGTCCTTCCTGAGCTAAGACAAAAATGTGTGAGCTGGAGGCTAAAAAACTGTGAGCTGCCTCACACTAACCCAGCTTAGAGGGAACACTGCTTCCCACCCACCGCCTGCCTTGGCCCAGATACGTGCAGCAGTAACCTCACCCAGGGTGAATACAAAACATTCAAGGCATTCAAGGTCCATCATTCTGCAATAAAGTCACCCAGCAGGGATGGCAGGAGGAGAGTAAATTTCCTCTTCCCTGAACTACAAGATGAAGTGGTTTAATATGGCTCACATTGGAGACTGTAAATGTACCAAGTAACCGTGCTTCACAGAAAGAACACTCCGCTGCCTCTCAGGGGCTCTCCGGCCAGGCCCTCCAAACCCACCCCTGGACCACACGGCTTTGGCAACGGGGCTCCTGTAGACGTGGCCAAAAGAAGCAGTTCAGGACTATTAAAGAGCCATTTTATTTGTATAAAGCAAACAGTGTGAAACAAACTTTCTACTTGTTGGGGTCGGGAAAAAAAAGAATCCTTCATGCACGGCATGTCTTGTTTCCAAAGGGTAGAAGCGATAATGCAGACAAAAACAGCGGCAATTTTTCTCTCGGTGGATCCCGGCAGACTTGTCAAGATGCATATAGACCAAATGACATCTTTCGAGAGAGAGTCTCCTTGCCTGTGCATTATCTTAAATAGGCCTGTCAGACTGAGCCGTGCAAGATAGGACTCGCTGCCCATGGGGGCCGGCCTCGGGAAAGAAGCGCGTGGAGACAAAGGTGCATCGCTTTGAAATGTCTGCCACGAGCACACGCCAACAAAGGCAGGACAAACACTGGGCAGCTCAACAGCTGGGGCGGTCCCGAATTCTCATCCATCCTCATGGAATGGGCTAGAAAAGGAGGGCCTCCCACAGATAAAAGCTGTGCCCGGTGCACACGTGGTCTTACTGAGCCGCTTACAGAGGGCAGGATTTCTCCTCTCCTAGCAGCCAGGATGCTGTGCAAAGTACCTGAGAGGCGCCTGCTGCCGGCATGCCAGCAGGCTCAGGTCAGGTCTGCCCTTCTTCCTCTCTTCAGCACTACCCTGTGCTCTGCTGGCTGCCAGATGGTCTCTGCCACCTTCGCCTCGGGCAAAAGGCCGGATACAGCAGCACCGGCTTGGTCCTGCAGAGGGTCCTTGCAAGACCAGACAGACATCGCAGGCTTGGCAACCGTCACCGCTTCCCCTGCAGCCAATCCGGAGGCAGCTGACTATCCTGAGCAGTCCGGAGGGAACCCGGCAAGAGACCAGAGGCCCAAAGCTGAAGGGGCTGGAGAAGAAGATGCAGGGAAGAGGAGGCGGCGCATCCCCTGGAGGAGCAAAGACAGGGCTGCGGCAGAGCTGGGGGCAAAGCAGGGCTACTTTTGGGCAGGAACACACAGGAACGGAGTTCCGGCTGGATCCCAAGTTGGCCACGCCCAGCAGGAACTCATTAGCATAACACGCCACACCCAACAGCAGAAACTCATTAGGATTGGCTACATTCGGGGTGTGTGGCCTAACATGCAAAAAAAGGCCCTGGGTTTTGTCAACAAACAAGGTAAAGAGAATAAGAAGCAAAAGGTGGGTGTGGCTGGATGACCACACTTCTGGTAACATGGGGGTGTGGCCTAATATGTGAATGAGCGGTGCTGTCAGGGGTGTGGCCTAATATGCTAATGAGTTCCTGCTGTTGGGTATGCCCTATTATGCTAATGAGTTCCTGCTGGGCTTTTTCTACAAAAAAAGCCCTGGGGCAAAGATTTCGGCTGGTCAGTCCTGCCCCTTCCGGGCAAGCGCTCCTCCATGGGGGGAGCCTTTCTCCCCCTCCGCCATGTATTGCTTTGTCAGCACAGAATCGAAAGGTGGAGAGTTTGTGTTCGAAAGATCATAATTGCCTTTCCAATTAGCCAGGCTTGGAGAAGCAGAGCAAGAGGAGCGTGGCCTATTTAGCCATTTCAAAAGATCCAGGCGAGTGTGCCGATAGTCACCCACATGGACTCACTGGCAGAGAAGACGACAGCACGGGGGCTCCTGCCTGAAACAGCCGATCGCAGGGCAAAGGCAGCCATTCCATTTGGAGTCTTCAGGGTATCGCTTTAGAGCCTGAAGAATCGGCCCCCTTGCCAGCCCTCGCCCCTTCGAAAACAATGTGCATGGGCCAGATTTCCACAACAGCTTAGAAAAAGTTCAAATGGGAGACTGGTTGCAGAATTTGGCTTCCAGAGATTCTGGTGGGGCGGGGGGATGCCTGGCTAAAAGATGTGCTGCCAAGTGTGGCAGAGGCCAGGGCGTCTGATATCCTGCAAGCTAGAGGAGCGGCTGGATTTGACTGCCAGTGATGGGGATGGGGGCTTCTCCCCCAGCATAGCCTTGTCCCCTTCCCCAGGAAGTTCACACCCAGAATGTATCATACAAAATCAAGCCAACGGTGGGATGAATTGTGCAGAAGAAAATCCCAATCATGTGCACGAATCACAGAATTTACTTTTTCCTACTGCCGATTGCCATTTTGATTTTTGGGCACAGAGAACCCAAAGCCCAGACTCCCAAGGGCACTGAGGAGCTGCTCAGAAATGAAGACAGCCCCACCTGAAAGAAGGAGAAGAAGAGGAGGAGAGATTGGATTTATACCCCGCCCTTCACTACCCAAAGGCGTCTCAGAGCAGCTTACAAACTCCTTTCCCTTGCCCTCCCCACAACAGGCACCCTGTGAGGTAGGCGGGGCTGAGAGAGCTCTGGAGGAAACTGCTCTTTTTCAAGGACAGCTCTTATCAGAACTACGGCTTGCCCAAGGTCATCCAGCCAGTGCAAATGGAGGAGTGGGGAATCAGACCCGGTTCTCCCAGATTAGAGTCCGCACACGTAACCACTACACCAAACTGGAGGGTGGATTCTATGGCATTCTACTAGAGTTGCCAGCCTCCAGGTGGACCTTGGGATACCCTGGAATTACAGGTCATCTCCAGACTACAGAGATCAGCTTCCTTGGAGAAAATGGGTGGTTTGCAGGATGCTGCTCTTACACACACGCACCCAGTGGGCTGGACCCCAATGAGTCAGGGCCGTCTAGTTTCTGTCTTGGCCCACCATCAGCCTCCCAGGTTTGACAAAGGGGTGCGACGGGTAACGCTTATGGCAGTGCTTCCGTGGAAGAGAAGATGGTTAACGCACTCGTCTGCCATTTCCTCCCAAAGTCAATCCACTAAGCTCTGTTTTTAACAAAACAATTTTCTTTTGGAACATCATAATTTTCAATCACAATGTTAATGTCAATGGGGAAAGGCTTTCCTGTCCACGCATTATGGTGCTTTGTTTTGCATTCAAATGAGTCTGATAGAGGGGGGGAAAACCATCAGGCAATGTTTTTATCTTCGGTAGAAATAGGGAATAAAAGGATTCGGTTTTGCATGCTGGGCCCTACCATCCCCAGTAATGAAGTGATTCATGTTTTCTGAAGGCCTTCTTGCTGAGGAAGCACAAAATCGTATTAATTTTTATCTCCCGTATTTTCTTGGCTTTCCATGGTACTCCACATTAGCAGCCATTTTTGATGTGCTAAGAAAGAAACACACGGAGTGGCACGTGGTACATTCACACCGCCAACTGAGAAAAGAAACCACAAACATTAACAAAGTGGAACTGTCACTGAAAGACTTCTGAAAGGGTACAGGGCATGGCTGTGTTGACTCCTTGGGGCCCCCAAGGAGACCGCTTCTGTTTCATAATATGGTTTGTGCCAACATCAAATTGCCAGTCATGCAGCGGCTTCTGCTGAGAGCAACCACCAGCCTTGCCAAATGAAACAGGGACATTTTCATCTGCATTCTTCTGATCTTCTTCCATTTCTTCTCTCCGCCCAGGAGCTATCAGTCACTGTCCACCTTATCTCCAGTTTCATTGCACTAGCAGACAGCGGACAGTGCTCCGCAGTCTACCAAGCTGTACTGCTTGTACAGAAAGCCCCCTGGCCACTGGTTCCAGGCAGAACAGTGCAGGTGGCTCAGGTCAGATATCGTGCTCGAGCTTGGCCGGGACCGCAGACAGCCTCTGGGCAGCCTCCTCACCCCCTACTGGTCAAAAGCAAGCATTACTTCAGGTTATTGTTAATCACCATGTTGTCATGTGTATCGCAATAGGTAGTCATTTTCTTCCTCTTCCCGAAGGTAGAGAAGCTGTTCTTGGCCTCCTGATCCAGAGAAGGGGGCCCATCCTTGGTGGCAGGCATGGTTGGGGTCCCTGGAATATACACATTATGCTGATAATCCAAGGGTGAGGTGTGTTGCGTGTACATGGGGGCATATGGAGGGGTCCAGATGCTGTTGGGGGGCCCAGATGTCTTCTGGAGCTCTGCAAAAAACCCAAAACATTTCCCAAATGAAGGATGGAATGTCCAAGAAGTAGAAAGACCTATGGCATACCGCCTTCACCTACTTTATTGATTCGTTTCCCACTTTTTGGAAAAATGGAAAGGAATCACAAAGCGACACCAGAGCGAAGGTTCAGTGCCAAGTGTTTCTTGGGAAGTGGTTTTCCAATGCCTAGTTTACAAGACACCCCGAACAAATGCCCCATCCATCTCCATGGGCATGGAATGTATCACAAGGCAAATTAAACAGATGCTTTCAGGGCTGTGATGGGGGAGGACACACACATACGCACACACGACAAACTACCCCAGTCCCATCCCTACACATTTGCACCCCATCACTCAGTTCTGCCAGCACCTCGTCACTACTAATTTATAGGAAGGAGGCAAAACTGGAAGTTCACAAAGAGAGCCAGTGTGGTGAAGCGATTAAGAGTGTCGGACTAGTATCTGGGAAACCCATGGGAAGCTTGCTGGAAGACCTTGGGCCAATCACACACTCTCAGCCTAATCTACCTCACAGGGTTGTTGTGAGGAGACAATGGAGGAGAAGAGAATAGTGTGGAATACCACTGAGGAGAAAGGTGGGGTTTAAATGAGAAGGAGGAGGAGGAGGAGGTTGGATTTATACCCCACCCTTCACTAACCCAAGGAGTCTCAGAGTGGCTTACAATCTCCTTTCCCTCCCCCTCCCCACAACAGACACCCTGTGAGGTAGGTGGGGCTCTGACAGAAACGGCTCTTTCAAGGACAGCTCCGAGAGCACTTGTGACTGCCCCAATGTCACACCAGCAGCTGCATGCAGAGGAGCAGGGAATCGACCCCAGTTCTCCCAGATTAGAGTCCGCACCACACCAGACTGGCTCTCTAAAGATCTAAATAAAGCACAGAGGGCCAGCGACCTGCTCCTGGGATCCCTGCAGCCCACAACTCACCAGACACCGGAGTGACCAGGGTGCGCAGCCTGTCGTGTTCCTTCTGGGCACCTCGCCGGCCTCCCCCAACGTCTTCTAGGCTTCGTGAGCTAAGAAGGCAGAGCAAAGACACAGAAGCAGCCACAGTTAGGCGCTCGGCTTCCCGGGGCCAGCAGTCATCGTGACCCAACCCGAACCCTTCTTACCTTTTCAGGGCTGACTGCTGAGCCTTCGAGGGTAGCCGGTCCGTGTTGGGCTGTTTCGCCTGCAAAGAAGGGGAAAGAGGAATGGGACGGGCCGCCGTCATGGTCATGACACTCAAACGCCACCGGGAGCCTTTACGCTTCCGCAATAGGCTGTTTGCAATTGTAATGGCAGATGTGAATGCTTCGCCGGAAGGGGGCCGAGCAGGAGGCCTGTGAGGTCTCTCCAGAGCCCCACTCCAGGCAAATGGCTGGACTAATTTCAGGGCTGGGATGACCTCAGTCCGACTAACAGGCTACGGCCGACGGTTCCTGCTGCATAATATAGCAGCATCCCCACCACCACCACCTCTGCCATTCCTGGGATTTCAGGCCTTGTGACCAGAATAAGAGAGTGCTGTTCAGCGGAGTGGCACGGCAGAGCAGTGTGGACACTGCAGCCGGGGGTGGGGTGGGAGGCACAGAATGGTGCTGGGGGCCTGGGGCCAGCCAGGGTGCTGGGGCGGGCAGGAGGGGGGGATATTTTGGAAAGGATCAGGAGGCTCGATGGGAGCGAGGGGGGGGCAGCCCTGGGTGTTCTGGTGACGGGGCAACTGACTCGGGGAGAATATTTTACCGGGTGAGGGAGGGGAGGCGTCCTGGTGTACAGCCTGGTCTGTTCAGATCTCGGAAGTTAAGCACAGTCAGCCCTGGTCCGTACTTGGAGGGGAGACCTCCGAGGAAGTACCCTCCAGAGGAGGACCCTGGCAAGCCACCTCTCTGCTTCTCCCGGGCCTTGAAAGGAGCCCCTTGCTGGGGGCAGCAGAAATCAGCTGCAACTTGACAGCCATTATCTAATTATTTATCTATCTATTTATTAAACTGGATTTGCTAGGCCAGCCTTCCCTGTAAGCAGGGCTCCGAGTGGCTTACAACAGCGTAAAAGACAATAAACGGTTTGAATTAAAACCAACATGAAAACTACCTTTACGTGCGTGGACACACACACACACACAAGGGGGGGGGAGAGAAAGAGGTCAAGCAGGGCCTGATGGCCTGGGGTGCTGGGGTTTCAGTGGGGCATAGCCAACTAACAATGCACCCATGTACGAAGCACCCTGCTGGATCAGGCCAGTGGTCAGATAAAAGGAACAGGCCAGAACAGATGAAAGGAAGTCCTTGTTCACCCAAAGAGTGATTAACACATGGGATTCACTGTCACAGGAGGTGGTGGCGGCCACAAGCATGGATGGCTTCAAATGGGAATTCGCATATGGAGCAGAGGTCCATCAGTGGCTGTTAGCCACAAGGTATAGATAGGGACTCTCAGGCTGGGGCAGGTGATGCTCTGTATTCTTGGTGCTTGGGGGGGTCTACAGTGGGAGGGCTTCTAATGTCCTGGCCCCACTGCTGGACAGTGTTCCCTCTAAGCTGAGTTACTGTGAGCTAGCTCACAGTTTTTTAGCCTCCGGCTCACACATTTTTGCCCTCGGTCAGGAAGGATGGCTCCAGAGCAAACTCATTTATGTGGTATCCAAATCGCTCGCTCACAACTTTAATGCCAGGAGCTCACCAAGTAGAAATTTTGCTCACAAGACTCCACAGCTTAGAGGGAGTCTTGCTGCTGGACCTCCTGATGGCATCTGGTCTTTTTGGCCACTGTGTGACACAGAGTGTTGGACCGGATGGGTCATTGGCCTGATCCAACATTGACTTCTCTTATGTTCTTTATAAGAGGGAATTAGATAAGCATCCGGAGCAGAGGTCCATCAGTGGCTATTAGCCACAAGGTATAGATAGGAACTCTCAGGCTGGGGCAAGGGATGCTCTGTCTTCTTGGTGCTTGGGGGGGGGGGCAACAGTGGGAGGGCTTCTAATGTCGTGGCCCCACTGCTGGACCTCCTGATGGCACCTGGTATTTCTGGCCACTGTGTGAGAGAGTGTTGGACTAGATGGGCCATAGGCCTGATCCAACATTGGCTTCTGTTATGTCCCTGGAGTGCACTATCCCGGTACAGGCAGTGCCCCCCCCCCGACTCCCTGGAGGGTCCAAGACGTAGAGAGGCAGATGGCCTCCCCTGGTCTTGCCTCCAGGAACTTCTAGAAGGAGAGGTGGCAAAGGCAGCCTGTGCAAGTGCTTCCTTCACCCAGGCGAGGCATCGCCTGGAGCCACCAAAGAGCGAACTGGCCCAAAGGAGGTTCCAGAGGGGCTCTTTTCTTCTGGGCCAACCAACACGGACTGTTTTGCAACTCCCTGAGGGCACAGAGGGACTGAGTGGCTTCCGCCCAGGGGTCCTTCCAGCTGGCATCTCTTGACTCCTCTGCGGCGAAGACAGGTAGCAGTGGGGTGGGTGACCGGGCACCCTGCAGGCGAGAGCTCTGTCCACGGGGTGGCGTCTCTGACGGCCCATTCTTCAAGGCCCCACCGGGACCCATCCATCTTTGCGGCCCACCTCCCCGGAGGCCGCCTGCCTGGCGATGGAGCGCTGCAAGTGATAAGGAGGAAGGCCCGGGCACGGAGCCCGGCCTTCCCTGCCTGCCTTCTGGAGCAAGCGGGGCAACAGGACAAGGAGGGGGACTCTGTGAGAGATCTCTGCTCTGGGGCCCAGCAGGGCCTGTTCGAGGCCAGGGGTCAGCTCAGGCAAGGCGCCCCTCTCCCTTCTGCGGCCTGGGCTGTTTCCAGCAGGGCAGACAGGGGGCGCCAGGCTCCTCCCAGCCCCACCCCAATTCCCTGGAGCCAGCCAGAGCCCTGCAGCCCCCCCCCCTCGACTGGGGACCTGGAGGCCTGGTCCGGCCCCTGCCAGCCAGAGGGGGCAGCTCTGGGGGGGGCAGGGGCGGATGAAGGCTCGCTGGTGCCCGAAGCACTGACCAGTCTCGGTGCCCCCCCTCCTTTCCACACTGACCCCCAGTCCATTTGAGTTGTCGACCAGCTGCGGGGAGAGGCCAGGCCAAGCCAGGCGGCGCGCCTTTCCAAGCGCTCGCCTCGCCCGTGCTCCGCGGGTTCCCAGTTCTGGGCGTCAGGCTCGCCGGCTGGTGGACGGAAAGCGCCACCGGCTGCGGCTGCCTTTGCAAATCCCGGCTTGGGCCCTGCAGCCAGGCTCTTCGACGCCGGCCTGCTCAGCATGGGGGTCACGTCCCGGGAAAAGCCGGCTCGCTAAAGGCAGGCAGGCGGGCAGGAGGACAGGCAGCCCTGCCATGCCCGGGCCTGGCCCCAGTCTCTGCGGGCGGCGGGGAAAGGCCGGAGAGCGGGGAGCGCAGCCAGCCGCCCGACGGCAGGGAAGGGAGAGGGGGGGCTCTTTGTTTTTCCTGTCGGGTCCGTCCTGCTGGGAGTCTGCCCCCGCCCCCCGCACAGACTCCCGCCTTCTCCCCGGGAGAGCCGCGGCCTTTCTTCGAGGGGGGGGAGTTTCGCCAGCGTCCCCCTGCGAGGGGCTCTGCCTCGGTTCTGCTCACGCGGGGAAGGCCTCTCTCACTCGCCGAGGATGCGGCCGGGGGAGCAGGGGCAGTGTTCCCTCTAAGCTGAGTTAGTGTGAGCCAGCTCACGGTTTTTTTAGCCTCCAGCTCGCAGATTTTTGCCTTCGCTCCAGAGCAAGCTAATTTTATGCAGTGGCCAGATCGCTCGCTCATAGCTTTAATGCCAGGAGCTCGGAAAGGAGAATTTTTGCTCACCAGACTCCACGGCTTAGAAAAAGCCTTGCCGAGATGTGCCGTCCGGAGTTTTGGGCGCCCTCGCCAGAGCATCTCCTCCTCCTCCTCGCAGAACATCCGACGCCTCCCCCTTCCTCCGCCTGAGCGGCGCTGACACCCGCATCTCTTCCGACCCCTCACGTCCTTCTCGCAGCCTCCCGGGCGATCCTGCGCCTCCTCCCCACCCCCCACCTCTGCCTCTTGTTGGGGGGAAGGGGAGGGGGGCCGGGAGGCCAAGGCCGGGAGAAGCCTCCGGAGACCCCCGACCGACCCCAGGACCGCAGGGGGGCCCTCCTCGGCCCCAAGAGCAGCCCCGGGGCCGGTCGCTTGAGCCCCGAATCCCCGAGGAGAGACACACACCCCCAAGCAACTTTATTTTTTCAACAAAATTGATGGAGTTATTTTAAGGGGGTGCTATTCACATGAGGCTGTTTTAGTGACAGAATCACGAGCCGGTGGGCTGAAGTGCTGAGTATCGACCGTCGAATGCCCGTTTCGTGTGGCCTCGGAATGTCCCTGCAGTGGGGCAGATTTCAGAGTTTTC